TAAATCGCTATCCTATCCATCTAATTCTCCTCCCCTTTACAGTTCCCCCACATGGCGTTCTCACCCTAAGGTTTTGTCTGCGCTCCTCTTTCACAGACTCTGCATCTGATTGTGAGAGGGAGGAAAATGGCATTTCACACCCCTTCATTCCCCTCATCCACAATCTAAAACAGAATCCGAGAGAGGTTCGTAACACAGGCAAAACACAGAGAGTAGAAATTGAGAACAATCACAAGGGAAGAGAAATATTGATCAAATGCAGCGATCAATGATGAGAAGTGGTTTGAATCAGAAAAGAAAGAGCAGAGACATATTCAGGCAACTAAAGCAGTTCTAGAGAAGGCGATAGAGCCTAATTGATGAGAAATAACCCTACGTTAGAATAGAGCTGAAATCTTTTGATTCACATTTCGTACCCTCTTTTGCGGGTCCTGCATCAGATTGTAAGAAGGGAGAAAGGCAATCAATACTTATGCCTCTTCTTTTTTCTAATCACAATCAAACACAGAATCCGTTACAGGATCCGAACTTGGAATCCAGGGAGAACATACACGAAAATAACGATGAAGAGGAAGTCAGGACCAGAGAAAAGGGCGATGCATCCCGATGCTAGTAAGTCAAATTTTCAGAACATCATATTGATGAGAAGAGACTGGACCAAATATTCACCCTCTCTCCCCTAAGCTAGGAATAGGGTTTCCCGAGCAGCAATCTCCAATGAGGGCGTCCACGGACAGCAATGCTAACATGTTACGAAGACAGACAGAAAGAATGGAAGTGCAGACACAAGCCAGCAGTCTTGCAGACATATAGATAGACAGGCACAGACAGACAGACAAGAACAGATATGGACAGAACGCAGACAGACGGATTGACAGACAGAAACAGACATGTACAGGACAGGTAGACAGGTAGACGACTAGGCAGATGCACACAGCGGGACGTGAACGGACAGCACACACAGGTGAGTACGGACAGACAGACGCGGACAGAACAGGACACGGACGGACGTGTTCAGACGGGGACGGACGGGTACGCACAAAGGGAAGGACAAGGACTGACGCGGACAAACACAGACAAGGACGTGGCATGCAAAAACGTGGACAAACACGTTACACAGACGGACAAAGACAAAACACTCATCTTGGCGGCCGCTCCATTCTGTCCATCAGAAGTCCTCCTCGCACGTCTTGGACCACAGTCGCCCATGTGGATCTGAAACAGACAAATGAAACACTGTAAAGCAGATGACTGAGGCTTTTCAGTACCTGTGGTCCGTCCCGCGACATGGTTGGAGTGGATCGCCAGCTATTGTCAGCACAGCTGGTTCGGGCGATCCACGATCGGTGTCGCACTCTGAAAAAAAAAACACCTTCAAAAACAAGTTAGCAACTTTNGGACTTCGACGCGCTCGAGAGCGTTTCTGCGATTTATACCCATTATCTGAAAAAGAACAGAAATGAACAGGTTAAAAGATTTCCGAAGTGATTCTGACGTCATTGATAAACACGACTCCTCCAAAGGGTTCGATGAACGTCTCAGCAAAGTCAGGGAGAAATTAGTAAGATAAACAAATGAATCTTAATCTGAGCAGAGATACATGAATCGATGCTCGGTTGGCATCGAGGAGCAACTGGGTCTTGGTTAGGCGGTGAGTTTCCCGCCCTTTATTGATATTAAATCAATTGAACGTAAAAAAAGACCACCGACGGGCCGACCCCACGGTGCGGTGGCTACCGGATGGGTGGTTTTCGCGCCTTTATCGATAAACAACCACCCACGTCACAGGCTCTCTCTCTGGCTTCCTATCGAACGATTTGGCGTACTCATTCAGACACACACACCCTCATTCACAAAGCCTACAGGCCCACACCCACATTCATGCACACACACACACCTCATACACACAGATACACATCATTTCGATCCTTTTTTATAGAATCCTCAAACACATAACATCTGACCGGTGAGCATCTCCAAGGTTCTGCACATCTTACAAGTGTTTAGAAGTTGTGTGTAGTGACATTTTACAGTTGAAATGACATTTTACAAAAAATACTGGGAAGAGAAACAAACAAACAAAACAAAATTGACACGATGAATCGATAAGGAACAATAATGGCCCATGCAAAGGGCATGTTCGCTTTATACGATTACAAGACAATCCCAAAAATATTTATCATATTTTTATATTTGCACTGAATAACAATAACAGTAGATAGAATTACACTTCTGTTAAGGCATAATGGACGGATCACAATTTGACTTGAACAAATCACATTTAACGATAAGGTCATTGACCAAGTGTTATCACTCATCAGAAAACTCTTGAAACACCAAAATTAGTGGGATTCCCAAAATAAAATCAGAGGAGAATAACTTAATCACACAAACAATTCTACACTTCTTCAACAAATCGATCTCTACGGTTTCTTGCTAATTATAAAGCGATTCACTAAAAATTGCCTATCACATCTTTGTTTAGCATCACACTGTATAAAACAACCATTTTAAGGAAGTGACAAAAAGAAAATGGAAACTATTAAATATACTTATACAATGTGATATAGTTTTAGTTGCATTTTCACAAACAAATTCCAGAAAGAGGCATTTTGCATCATCGTTATAAAAGGGACCACCGTTACAACACGAAAACCCTGACAAGCATAATCCCAAGTCTGCTGGCCATACCCCGCTTTCGCAGTCAAAGTCTCAGTATCGATCCACCACAGGAATTGTGTGACATGCGAACGTTGGTAATGACTCAACGCAAAGTCTAAATGCAGCCAATGGCTCAAATCTGACGACAACTCGTCAGGACTGAGAGAGGCGTATGCTTGATATCTTGCTCACATGCCCCCTTACAAAAATCTTCGTATGGAACGGTTGGTAATGCGGAACGCCTCTTAATGGAAAATGAAAAAAACTATACCTATTACACTGACTATAAACTATGACTATAGCTTCGATCTATGTCATTCTTAATTGATAGTCACCATTTTGTGTCACATAGCGAACCCATGGCATCGCTTGATAACCGCTTTTTTCGATGATTTTCAGGTAGCGTACCTAAATTCGAGAAAACGCATAAAAACGTTTCATTTGATGTAAGTTTCTCAGTTCTTGACGGACAGTTATCAAAACTTACCATCTACTGTCGGATTGGTGAAATAATCAAGAATAGTATAATGAAAAGCTGCAAGTTATCAACAGATCAAAGGATACCGCTAACAAACACACCTGAAGGCCACTTGTCGTATAGTAAGGCACTTCGAATTTAACTTGTATAGGAGGTTTGCCTTCTGCCTCTTCGCTCACAATCGAAGGCAACGAGAAATGTGCACGCATCAAATATTCACGACCACCTAAACTTTGGTAATTATGAAGATAAGGTCCGGTAAGAAAAGGTAATGAGTATGAAAAGCTACAGATATTAGAGAAAATTAAGTAATTTTCCATCTCACATGGCAACCAAGTCAATGGTAAATCAACCTAATCAGAAGATAGAATCAGACTATATTGCTGCCGGAAACAAAAACGATTCAAAGCTCCGATGAGAGAGAATTGCAGTAGGAGGCCGACAGCTTTTGTGTACCAATAAAGAGAGGTTACAATTTTTGATCAAATTTGGCATCCAGCCATCACTACTATAACCGAAAGGATTATTTATGAAATTCCTCAAACCAACCTGGAAAACTGCGAATCGTCCACACAAACGCATTCAGCTCCGGTACATACTTCACAGAGCCAACGCTCGTCTTGAATTTCGGAGAGTCTGCATCAGACGGAACCGGAATGATCACCTCCACATGATTAGCAATTGATTGGCGCTTGAATTGTGATTTAGCCTGAACATACAACGATGTAAGATATATCGAATATAACCTTCGTTCCCGAATCAATTCACGAATCATTTTAGGGAAGAACATTCTACGAACGTAGGCTCTTTGGCCTCGTTTCGTGCAAATCATTTGCCACTAATTTTTGAACGAATCACAAAAATCGCTGACAAATACAGCGATACATGCCATATCAAATTCATTAAGGTGACGCAAAGCATGATCAAATGCATGCAGACATGAATCATTTTTAATGTAGACCTCTAATGATATAAATCTTTACAATCACAAAAAAAGGTTAGCATACATAAACACTACAGCAACCAGTAATATACCTGACTATAGGGATTAGCAAAACATCCACCTGTAACCGAGTAAATGACAAAGAAATCAACCAAAATGGAATGGACATAATTGACACTACCTTCACCATGTATTCGACTCGAGAGTGCGTGTGCTTTTCGACGACAGCTTCAACCCAAATAAGAGGTTTCACCTGGAAATTCGGAATTGGTCAATGAAATTTATCAAACTAGATTTCCGAAGCATGTAAGTATCATATGACCTTGACACAAAACACAAAGGTACAATATAGTAAAATGCTAGGGTAGTAAAATGAGCAACTGACAGATTCCATGGAAAGTGGGGAAAAACTCTTTTTTTTAAAACGGCAGCTCAACAATGAAACGAGTACCCCAACCATTTTCACGGCACATCGGTTCGATTGCCGCTATGATGTATGAACATACCTGAGTTGTAAGACGATAGCTCATGAGCTCAAACTCTCCATCGGGCGGAATAAATGAGATAGTTCGTTCAGCATCGAAACGCGACAGCCGTACACATTGGTGGAACTTAACGTCCTCCAATTCAACTCCTTTACCGCTTCGGCTGCCTAAGAAGTAAGAATTTCTAACAAGAACAACTACGGCGATAGAACTGGAGATAATATGAATCTCAGTCAGGCTTATATCTTAGTAAGCTTGCAGTAACAACTGGCATGAAGAAGAGCCTGGCGAACAATTTTCGAACAGGACCAGAAACAGGAAAGCAGTTTCAAAATCTGTAATACCTCTTGCACCAGCCGATGCTTGTTCAAAGATAACTTTATCATTCAAGCCCAGTCGAAGTTCTGGCATTCCGCTCAAAACCACTCGCATTCGAATTGAGCCAATGATTTCACTTCGTAAAACTGTTCCAGAAGCATTTGCCTTGAACACAATTTTTACACAAACTTACAGCACAAGCTTTTTACTGATATCTCAAATTGCAGTCAGTTCACTGGTATCTCGTCTCACCAGCATATTGACGCTTTCAATGACGTCAAGAAAGACTTCATTTTTGCGATATTTAATCCCGTCCGATCTCCATGAAACTGCATTAGTAACTGCCATAGGAGGACGAGGTGCGATCTCTAGTCGATGGCCTTCTTGTGTAATGTATCTAACAATAAAAAGGTAAAATAAAAATCGAATAAAATCCGTAGCTTCAATTTGATCTTACTCTTGAAGAATGCGGCTCTCCGTGGTCTGAGGATATCCAAAATCCATCATTTCATCAAAAAGTTCATAAATTACAACGAAATTATCACGAACAGATTCTTCTTCTAGATCTTTGAAGTACTCACAGAACACCTTAAAAAATAAGGAACAATTACAAACACAATGTAAAAAAAACAAAAGGAAAGAAAGAGGCCTGTGATTACCTCGACACATTTGTACAGGTATGAGACAACAAGGGCAGCATTCATATTCTTCTTCGATATACTCACAACTGAAAAAAGGGCNTGAAGGGAATGAGTCTTTGAAAATTTGATTTACCATGGCCACTGAAGTCCGCTTTTAGGGATATCCGCAATAATAATTAATACATCAAAATCATATCGAGTTTTCTGATTATAACAAGCATAGCAAATCGTATGTGATTTTCAAAAAGGCTGAAGCCTATTTCTTTGAACTGCCAGTTGATTAGCCCATAATAAACTTGCCTATTTATAATCAAATATTTTAATAAACATCCACCCAGAAAGATGACCTTTGTAACCCTAAAAGTTGCAAGGGTTCAAAGAAAACAATCGAAAAGAGGTTTTAAGGAAACTAGGGAAAATAAATTCTTCAAAAATATAAACGTTTTCTTTGAGGATGATATCTGCTGATTGTGCTATTCGCTAGAACGACTACTGCTTTTGAATACTCTTTTTAAAGAATTCCTTAAATAAAAAAGGATACTTCTCTACAGTCGCTATGGAATGTTCTATTATGTTGAAATATAATAGAAGCAGAAAAAAGAACTTTTCCACGCGCTATAATTGGGAGAGCGTGGGCTGCGTTTATTAATGCTCATCATTTATTCATGTACCTCATTAAAATTGGTATGAGATAGAAAATGGAGTATCAGAGGTTCATCAACAGGGTGAAATGTTTCTTTGATTTATATTCCTATTATACTCAAAAACACTTACGGTAGAGGTTCATGTGTTTGATGAAGGTATAACTTATATCTCCGGCTTGAATAACTGGTGAATGAACACCTTCGTCTTCCTTCTCGACAAGCAATGGCATGAATCGTTCAATACATGACATTTCCACATCGCCACGGTAATTACGGGAAACGATTACCTGAATAACGAAGACTAGCCTTTGATACGTTGGAAACTCCGTTCAGATATACAACTTATTGAAGGAGTATAATTTGTAAGTAGTTAAAGGGGCGAGACAGGAATATAATTCTGAGTTAGCGAACAACAGCTCTTTTCTGGATGCTACAACATTATGATAGTATTACTACAATCCGGATATTGTAATTTTTGGGCAAGAACGGCTTGAACCATAAGTTCTACTCAATTTGATCATAACGATAATTAAGCAAGCAATGCATGACACTATATCGTGCAACTACTAAAACCCTTAAATTTTGCCGACTCTTATTCATAACGTTGAAGGAAGCAATCAATCTGCAACCACAAAGAATCGGTGAAGTCGTAAAATAGGAGAGCAGGGCGGCGCACCTTTTTGCGAAACGGTTTTTTTTTTGTTAGAACTGCTGAGAAAGGCATAGAATAGCAGATAAGGAAATGAATAGCTACACCGAAAATGATTTAAGCACGTTAGGAGGATTCAAGAATGCTTCATTTGAGCAACCCCAGGTTGAAACCTAAGAGTATGTCAAACAAAAAAAGGTCCAATGAAGGATGGGGATCAGAAATGATGCCTTTGCTAAAACACCATGTTACAATTTGATTCTTTTCTCGTTGCAGAAAAATTACGGGTAACTATAAACATGAACCAAATGACTCTGCAGTAGCTATGCCAAGGTATAAAGCTGATGAAAAAAAAAGAAAGAATAATCATAGTGCCTACAAAATTTGCAACAAGCCTGAAAGCACTGGGTGAAAGGAGGATGTAACAAAATTTATATAAATACACAAATGATATTCAAAGAAGAATGTACTCACATTTCCTTTCAGATCGAGTATAAAGATGGCGGAGCAGGACATTCCGCCTATGTGAACAGGAGTCTGGCCCTTTGTGCGTCGTGGCGACCTGAATATTTTATGAGTAATTCGATAACAACATCCGTTATACATCGAATAAGAGCATATAATGGAAAGTAAATGCACGAGGAATTGTTCGTGAATGGTTGGAACTGCTGCACTTGCCGACAGCGATTCCAGAAACGATCGAATCGATCGATTTCATGGGAATCGATAACGTGATATGGGACGGGCAGGCTTAAGCAAATATTGAAAGCAAGGACACAAAGGCAGGTAGCAAAAGGCAGATATTGATCATCGCGTGAGCTGAGTCGGTAGGTGAACGTGTGAGAACTTTGGTTTTCAGCAGGCAATAAAACATGCTCCATTCACAATTATTACGGCTGCAATTAGCGAAAGTACAACCAATCAGTCGTAAATATCATGAAATCAATTAAGCTAATTAAAATAAAACCGTGTTAGATAGTGAGAAAGATTTCCAGGATAGATCAAATCAGTGGGTGAAAAAATAAAAGAAAATTGGGTCCCTCGATCGGGACCTGGCGTAAAAATTCAGATTGGTTATCGGCCAATACGTACAAGAGGAAAACAGAAATAGAAAAATGCAAATCGATTGTTTGACCTTATAGTATTTCCCGATTAGGACGTAACACAGGCGTGACACTTAAAGTGGTGGTACTTTGACATTTTTAATTAGAAGCCATGGCACCGGTCAGTTAGAACACTGACTTTGAGAACAGAGCGATTTTTCGCTTTGGTTTCAACTGATATTCGTTCTTGGATAAAATCGGGCTTTGAAAGCGATAAAAATCGTTTACAATCAATAAAAACGACTGGAAGAGGAAGTGTCACTGAATGAGACTGGAATCATGTTGACCTAGTTTGTGGGCAACTATTATTCTTGTGGCTATCGCAGATAAAGGCAGCATTTGTAGCAGTTGAGCGTTCGGTCGCTAAGCGTCGAACCTGATGGCATATCAGCGATTGAGAGTTGCCACTGAAGCAGCGGCAGTTCTTGAGATTGCCGAACGTCGCTTTGTCACTAGACAGCCACATGATTTTGAGCTCGTGCTCACACAGGTGTGCTACGCTACGAATAGACCGAGCTCAGCTTTGTAATGGAATGTGAGAGGGTTAAAAAAAAGGAGGAAAAGAGAGAAAAAATAAAGTGTTTCCCACCTATACTTATTAAGCCTACCTCAGAAGTAGCAAACGCTGTATTTCACCTTGAATAGCGAAAAACTGACCCCAAAGCCAGTGTTCAAACTATTTTTGTTACATTCAATGAAAACAGTAATTGAATAGTAAGAGCAATGGAAACTAAATGTGACGTCAAAAGGCCTGCCAGTGAATGAAGTGAACGAGCAGGTAGTGTATGATAAAAATGAAAAGAAACATGATTCAGCTAGGAGCGGCTAAGGATGAACTCGTCCAAGGGTGGGTGGAGCGCGCACTTGACAGCTTGGCGGGCCTGATGGCAACGTGATTGAATTTGTGAATTGTGTATTATAAATTTTGTCTACCGCTAATTGAAAACTGATTTCAAATTCCACTAAATTAGACTATCGATGACCACATACCAGTAAGGTTACTTTGCAGAACAAATCTGAAATATAGTTCGCCACGTACATTCATAGAGAATGCTCTATCCGAATAGAAATTGATGCGTAGGGCGTCGCCTTTGTCATACACATTTGTTTGGTATTCAGATAAATTGCATTGGAAATGGAATGGCCCGAAATGTGATTGAATATGCCGACATCGAATTCGCTATATGGGAATGAGTCGTAAAAAAAAACTTCCCAAAAGCGATTGGCCACTCCTGTACGACTCACATTTGGGATCCCAATATTTTAACTATTTAATGTCACCTGGATCAACCTTCATTTTTCGACATTAAATGGTCGTAAGGGGATAGTACTGAATGGCACAGCTATCGCACGTCCTCCACGACCAATGTGAACACACTAGCTAAACGTCCACTCTATCTCTTTGGTTGGGTTGAATAGTGCCACACTAGTCTGATAGGGTGATAGCAGTGACTTGAATGTTGAAATAATTCTGCAGTCCACATATGAATTCAAACGTCACTCCGATCCTTAACGGAAAATGGATGTAAGTGCATCACAATGAAGACTACCTCCAACTCAAACCTACCTGCCTGTCTGGACGGGATTGTATTAACTGAAACTGAAAACTAGATGGGGACTCCTTCAGACGAAGAGCTACAGAGTCTCAGAGTTGGTGCTGGAGGTCTCAACCCGGAATTACGCTCGTTTGAAGCCCTTTTAACGTCAGAGACGAGCTTGCTTTGTGCCATTCTGTCACTAAAACCTTTCCTATAAGTGAATCTCATGGTTCTGCTCATTACTAAAATAGGGCCTGACATGGGTGTAAAATCGCTCACTTCACCCTCTCCATTCCTTCATGACGGGTGTGGTGCGATTCGTGCGATTCTGGATGCGCGCGGCAAATTGCGCGGCGAAATTCGGTGCGATTTGAACGACTGCAGCGTTTATCATTGGAGATCAAATTTGAAGTTAAGTAGGTTAGTAGGATAAGTTTGTGCCCCAATAATAGGCGCAGGAGTCGTTTGAATCATCGCGAATTTCGCCGCACAATTTGCGCGCACCCAGAATCGCACGTCCCCCCTTCATGACAGTTCCAGCCTACTTATGACAATAAACTTCAACCAGACGTTTCTTACGTCTCTATTTGAATGCTTTTCTTGATATTATTGATATTACAAGGGTTAAGTGATCCAAATTTAGCGCCTTGACAGGCATAGGGAGTCCAAAATCAAGGGTCAACTCAAAACCAATCAAAGTCGTAAAATTGTACAAGATTTGAAATACTAGGATGGAGGCACGAACTCATATCTGACAGAGAAGAGAACGAGGAGTAAAGGCACCTTTATTAACGACACGCCATCGTCAGGTACGCTTGTCTCGTATGAGGGAACCAATCTCACCAATCACAATCATCAGCAACTTATTAAAATTACAACAACACATGCATTAATTCATAATCGACCAAAAAGCTGTCAACATCACAAAAATCGGATGAGAACAACATAACAATGAAGTAACAACGAAATTGATCAATTAAAGGAAAGGGAATACTGAAAGAACATCTTTGAAACGCTCTCAATACCTATAGTGATCAGGCTTGTAAGGGCCATCAATTGGTACTCCAAGGTATTCTGCTTGCTCTTTGGTAAGCTTGGTAAGCTTCACACCGAGTTGGGCCAAATGCAATCGGGCGACTTCCTCGTCGAGTTTCTTGGGCAGCACGTATAGACCGATCTTGTACTGTTCAGGAGTGCCGTATTTGGTGAAAAGTTCAATTTGGGCCAATACTTGGTTCGTGAAAGAGTTCGACATAACGAATGAGGGATGTCCTGTGGCACAGCCCAAGTTCACAAGACGGCCCTCGGCGAGCAGGATAATGTGACGTCCGTTCTTCATGAGATAACGATCAACCTGGAACAACAGAATTAATTAACTAAGTTACTGTAATGTAAGAATTTCAGCATTTCGACGTGAAGGGCTCAATGTGCCAGGCTCCCAGGTGCCTCAGCATTCCCTTGGCCACCACCTCCTGATGAGACACTATAAGTCTTAATAACCTATAAAGTAGGATGCTCTATCCTGCATCAGGATAGTTATGGTAACTTACTTCCTCGATAGGCAGTAGGATAACTGGTCAAATCGGAAACGGCCTATATGTAAAAGGTCCTTACTCTAAAATTCGTGCTCAGAGTTAGGAGCAACTAATTAAATTAATAACGACGTCCCACATGTGATCATGATTAGCTATGAACGAGCCATATACCCACCTGGGGCTTGACAACCTCCTTCTTGACGGCGTTCTCGTTCAACCATTTAACATCGATTTCGCAGTCAAAATGTCCAACGTTGCATACGATAGCGTCGTTAGGCAGCAATTCCATGTGTCGGCCAAGGACGATGTCCTTGCAGCCAGTTGTGGTGACCACGATATTGGCCCTCGGAGCGGCTTCGTCCAAAGTAGTTACCTCGTAACCTAAAAAAACATATATGCACAGGAATTCAGAACTTCCAACCAAACTGATTGAACATGTTCATACCCTCCATAGCGGCCTGAAGAGCGTTGATGGGGTCGATTTCAGTGACAATGACATGCGAACCAAAAGCTCTCAGTGACGCGGCTGATCCCTTTCCAACATCACCGTATCCGCAGACGACAGATACCTACGAATATAATAATTTGAAGAGAGTACCGTAACCATGTTCAATAAAGGTTTTTCACCTTTCCAGCAAGCATAACATCAGTGGCACGCTTGATACCATCGGGTAGCGACTCACGGATTCCGTAGAGGTTATCGAATTTGGACTTCGTGACGGAGTCGTTAACATTGATTGCTGGGACCTAAACCGGACAGACATTGATTCAAGAAAATCATTAGAATTGAATTCTTTGAATTCTAAGGGTTCATTCCTTTGAAAAAATAAAGAGTTTTACAAAATCAATATGACTTCCGAAGGAGTGACAAACCTTTAGTTTTCCCTTTTCGAGCATCTTGGCGAGATTGTGAACACCAGTGGTGGTTTCCTCGGAAAGACCACGAATACCTTCAAGGTACTGGGGGTATTTTTGATGAACGAGGTTAGTGAGATCACCTCCATCATCAAGGATCATGTTGAGGGGCTTGCCGTCCTTGAAGACGAGTGTCTGCAAAGCGGAGAAGATAATGAAGAAACGAAAAGTAACATTGGGGAGAAGATTGGTTTTTAAAACCCGACATGGACTCTACATGTTGTTCCTAATTATAACTTTAGTTCGAACATCGATTCCCAGAAACGTCTGGGTCTTGTGGGTCTAGACAAGGAGCTTCTATATGTTCAGAAGTCCAAGAGGAAAGAATTGCTTCAAAAGTAAGAAAGAAAAAGGTAGTTACGTTTTAGCCGGACCACATATTTCCTCTCTTACGGTTCTGAGAAATTACATGTCTGCTAAGTACCAAGTACGCTACCCATCTGTGGAACTCATTGGACCAAGTACACCTCACACTTGTCCAACGGAAGGGGCAAAATCGGAGTCCGTAGGTAGACTTATGAAACGAAGACCCTTGATTTGTAAAAATTCTCGCTAGGCTTAGGCGAATTCTCAAAAATGACCTTCACTTCAACGATATACATACCTGCTCAATGCACCACTCGTACTCTTCATCGGTCTCACCCTTCCAGGCGAAAACTGGAACACCAGCAGCTGCGATAGCTGCAGCTGCGTGATCTTGTGTGGAGAAAATGTTGCATGACGACCATTGTACCTAAAACTATGTCGCTAAATTAAATGAAAACATGCATGGTATACTTTTTACAAGAGCGACGAAGTTCAAAATCCTGTTAAAATACCTTGTGACTAAACTTTAAAAGATGTGTTGAAACCTATTCTCGTCTTTGACTCTGTCACTTAAATCTCTATATAACGACACATCTAGAAGCAAGAGAGTAGCCATAGAGGAATTCAAACAAAAACGCTCTTACCTCAGCTCCAAGTTCGACTAAGGTCTCGATAAGGACCGCTGTCTGAATAGTCATGTGAAGGCACCCAGCGATACGGGCACCCTTTAATGGCTTTGATGGACCGTACTTCTTACGCATGGCCATCAATCCAGGCATTTCATTCTCAGCAATGATTATCTCCTAAAACTTAGGAATAAAGTTCTGCATACTAACACAATTCCGCTAATCTCTACTGCGCCTTAAAGGAGGTATGAACGGCCCCTCTGAGAATGCTCCCCCTCAAACGACCTTTCGCGAGTACTGTAACTATTTCGGAGCTATGCTCTGTACTTGTAGAAGAAGGTATGTGATAGTTTTGTTTGATGAATTCGCAACGACTTCCCCTGGCAAGTATTCCTCGAACAGTTGTATAAAACAGGTTTGCTTAACATACCTTACGTCCAAAATCGGCAAGACCGATATCAGCGACTTTATAGGCGGGCTTGGAAGAGGCCATTTTCGTCGTTTGTTACCTGAACGACAAGGTGTTTACGAAATGAGTGCTCATTTCGAATATGGGCATTAAAATACGAGATCTAGATCGTGAGAACAAAGGAAAGAAGTGACCCAATGTGTGCCAAAATCTTGAAATCTCCTATTTTGATTAACAAAGCAATCAAAGTGGTCAGGAAGCTACTGCAATGTAAACATCCCATAAAACTTGTGGCCTAAAATTAAATCGTGTGAAACTTATACGCGAACATGGCGTAGAGCGTGTAAATGCGGTTAATACTTTTCCCATACGTCATGGTCGTACACCAACACAGGTTCCCAGCCTATGGCAGTCTTCGGACCCACTTTTCATTTGATATAGGTTGGGATTGAATTCTATGGCTTATGAAAAACCACATTCTTCTGGTTGAGCAAATTTCACATGAGCCCAGCTAGGGAGGATATGGTACTGAATAGCAATTCGCATGTCTTATTAGGGAGCGCAAGATTTTTCCCTACACTGCTTTTTTAAACGGTCCATAGTTGGTTGATAGTGGAAAGGTGATTGTGATACGAATACGTTTCTTTCTAAAACCAAATTTAATGCTGTTTGCTCATCTTACAAATAAATCGGAGTGTGGAGTGGAAAGCCTTCTCGTTGTTCAGCTCACCCCCATGTTGCCCGTATTCCTACGGCAACATGGGAGCCTGTCGACGGCTTTTAAACACCCGTGCGACCAGAGAACGCCCTCTCTTGACGCCTGCCACGTTGACAAAAAGGAATCATGTGATTGTTGAATCAGACGAACGATCAAAGCGCGACCAAACGATCAGGAGGAGTGATTGGAGGCGGCGACAGCAGAAGTGGCGTGGACGGAGAGTGGAGATAGCGATCGACCGAGCCTTGACCTAACGATGCCGTAGCTCTGATAAGAACAAATTTTCCAGGAAATTCAGAGAAACCGATCTTTGAGTAGACAGCTCCGTAGGTATTCACTGTCAGGATCTGTAAAATAAGCAAAAACAGAATTGAAGTCGAAAACGGTATCACAATTACTTCATATTGCACTCGGATGCGCCATGCATCCTTTTCTACGTGAAATACCCGGAAGAAACAAACGTAGGGAGCCAGGGTATCGCACAGTTTTGTACACCAGTAGGCGCCCGTAGTTGTAATTGCAGAACTTTGAGAGGATCATGACCAGAATCGGAACTAGAAGAACTGAAGTTCCAAAAGACGCTACTACTTTTTGCTCAGCTTTTCCTTCAGTCGTAAACATTCAGTTGTAGTATGAAGCCCACAAATATCTGCATTATGAGGTTCGAGAAAATTCTTTCCAAAACATTCTCGGGTAATTGAGCCGCTTCTGGCATAATACTGCCCTGCACCCTGTGAAAATGAGGTTCTCTCCCCCTCTCTCCAACCAAACCCTGCTGCGCCCATCATTCACAGAAGTAAAACTGATTCGAAAGAGTTTAATGGTCTAGTGTGATCGAATTTGCGGAGCTTCATTATAAAAGAAAACAAAATTGCGGACTTGGTGTATTAGCAAGTGGGGCACTACCTCACACGCACGGACACGTGTTTGCACCCCGTATCGATATTCGCCTCGGCCAACTAAGCCCTCAGACCATCTGAGGTCGTTCAATTGGTGCCATATTCGCCCGGGAGGATAAAAGCACTGACTGGTAGATCGGCTGGCCACCACAAGTCATTTATGGGCAACATACCCATTCAATATGCCACTACGATTTCGAATAGAACTCGATTGCGGAGGCGCATTTCTCAGGCGGGACTACTATCATTCTTATCATTTGCGGACCAACACTCGAACTGAGAACGAAAAGGTGGTGTAGCTGAAAGTGTAACCAGTGGGTTCTTTATAACTGGATAGTAAGTGCAATACTAAAGAGAATATCACGGGCTGTCATTGCGTGGCCCACCAGCATCCTTAAACTAGTACCTGTCGACAAACGGTTCTACGAATCATTTACTTTTACAGATCTCATTGCCGAATATCTGTAAATTAATGTGAAAGTCGCATAGTTCTTAAAATGGCTCCATACTTTTCATGAACAGACATTTCTAGACAAACTAGACCTATTTGAGTTCCATTTAGAACTTTCAGCAGCTGAAAGCGCAAATATCCACGAGCGGATCGGCCAACGTATAGGTCACTGCTTTCTAACCCTCTACATTGCACACATGAAAATTGTTCTGAACAAGATCCACTGCGCGAACTATTGACTTCCAAACTAGGAATTTGGTACGTAGGTTGCCTTTTATATTTTGTGATTTGAGAACAGAAACAAATACTGTTTATTGAAAATCGTCTTGCTGCCTTTCAAAATTCTCCACATTAAGATCTGTACACTTTTGAATGGGTTCGAATCAATCTTCGAAGCACTTTTGCCACTCTGATGTAGGTAACTCTAAAACATGAGTTCTGAAAGCATCAACGGTTTCTTCAGGTGTCGAAAAACGATGACCTCTCTTTTTATTTTTTACGTACGGGATGAGAAGAAGTCACCCGGGGA